TTCACATTGAAATGTTGAAACATGTTTAAATGGATTAACAATCATAATATGGGGCGCGAACGCACTCTACATTGTTATATATATATATATATATATATATATATATATATATATATATATATATGTGCACAAACGTATGCAAATAAGAAATTTCGTATACATAAGAACAATACTTTATTAATGGACATAATTACAGATAGAAATAGTAAAAATATAATAAATTATTATTATTATTATTATTATTCTAGTGAGCTAATCAAATTACTTTTATTGTAATTTTACATTGAATTAAGTATGCAGTAATCTATGTGTGTAATTGTCAGGAGAGAAAAAGAAAGTATTTCAGAGACTCCTTGTAATAATAATAGAAAGCAAATTACATTAAGTAGTATATTTTTATTCTTGTTTATATATTTATATACATTAAATAGAAAATGAGTTGAAGTTAATTATAAATTAATTAATGTATAATAGATGATAGAAAAAAAAAAATATATATATATAAATGTACTCTGTTTAGAATAGATAACTTGTGGTTAGTACTTACTTACTTACTTACTTACTTACTTACTTACTTACTTACTTACTTACTTACTTACTTACTTACTTACTTACTTACTTACTTACTTACTTACTTACTTACTTACTTACTTACTTACTTACTTACTTACTTACTTACTTACTTACTTACTTACTTACTTACTTACTTACTTACTTACTTACTTACTTACTTACTTACTTACTTACTTACTTACTTACTTACTTACTTACTTACTTACTTACTTACTTACTTACTTACTTACTTACTTACTTACTTACTTACTTACTTACTTACTTACTTACTTACTTACTTACTTACTTACTTACTTACTTACTTACTTACTTACTTACTTACTTACTTACTTACTTACTTACTTACTTACTTACTTACTTACTTACTTACTTACTTACTTACTTACTTACTTACTTACTTACTTACTTACTTACTTACTTACTTACTTACTTACTTACTTACTTACTTACTTACTTAATATGTTCTTTGGCCTTCCTCTTTCATGCTTCCCTTCACGATTCCAAGTTAAGGCTTGCTTCATAATGCAGTTTGATGATTTCCTCAATGTATGTCCTATCCACCTCCAATGTCTTTTCCTAATTTCCTCTTCAACTGGAAGCTGGTTTGTTCTCTCCCAAAGAAGTCTGTTGCTGATGATATCCGGCCAATGGATGTTAAGTATCTTGTGTAGATAACTATTTATAAATACTTGTATTGTTTTGATGATGGTTGTAATAGTTCTCCAAGTTTCAGCTACGTACAGTAGAACTGCCTTGACGTTCGTATTGAAGATTCTGACTTTGATATTGGTTGAAAATTGTTTTGAGTTCCATAGGTTCTTCAATTGTAATCGATATTAAACACAATATTGTATTCTTCAGTATAGTAGTCAACAGTTAAATAAGTGATTTTAATAGTTGAGATCATGAGTCAATTGGAGCTAGACCACCATCGAAAACCTGGAAGCACTGGACGGCCGTTTCGTCCTAATATGGGACTCCTCAACAGTGCGCATCCACGATCCCTCACCCCATGAGATTCGAACCCATGACCTATCAGCCTCGGGCGCGAACGCTTGTGTACTGTACTTTGTAACTTTTCATTAATCTAGTTATAAATCATGGTTTAATTCAATATGTGAATAGTTTGATATCAAACCCGAAATAATTGAATGTTTCCACAACAACCACCTTTCGACAAGTAATTAAAATGTAGGTAGTGTTAAGTAGTAATTAACAAGCTTAAGTCTGTTATGTTCATTTCCTTTTTTTTGGTTGATTAGACTGTTAAGTCTCGAATAAGGTCAACTGTATACATTAATATTTAACTATACTGAAGTTTAATTTCGATATGATCATTATGATTATTATTCTCAAATGGCTATGTAACGTATTTACTAAAGCCTGATGAGAATTCATAAGATTGTTAGTTCAGTTGACCTTACCCATAGTAATACTTTTGTTGTATTAGAGAACTGATCTATATGAAGTCCAATTGCTGCGGATAATGTCAACAATCTTTGAGGCATCCTTTTAACGCTTATGGAAATATGAATCCTGAACCGTGTAATGGTACTATGTCGTCTTTTCATAATAGTGATTGCAACGCTTGGAACAATATATCTATTAACTTGTAAGTCACTTACGCCCGTAGTTTAGAGTAAAGGTGATTACTTGAGGAATATTTACGTTTTATATCACTTTTCAGAAAATAATAACCAGTAAATAATCATTCGACTGGACAAAATGGGATGAAAATTTTTTAAAAAAGAGTACAAAAATAACTGTACTATAAATGATATTCCTTTTGGTAAATAAGTGTGTATATAGTGAAAGCAATCGTGGATTATCGGAATGAAGATTTGTGGAGGTTGTGGTAATTTTAGCAGTTGAATTCATGAGTCGATAATAATCATTTATTCACCAGTGACTGGCTTCAAAATGGATTTTCTGGAGTTCTAATGAGAAGCGGTGACCAGTGGAGCTCAATCAGATTCGGGTGTTAGACAGTTATTCACCTCAGACTATGAATAAAGGGTTGCTCAGAATCATGAATCTATTGAAGTTAGACATTAACACCTTCGGATGCTGAGCGGCTCAGTGGTCTAGAGGTTGTGTTCGCGCAAGAGACCAAAGGTCCTGGATTCGATTCCCATATGTGGGATCGTGAATGTGCACTACTGAGGAGTCCCATACTGATACGAAACGACCGTCCAGTGCTTCCAGGTTTTCAATAGTAGTATAGCTTAGATCGACTCATGAGTTCATTTATTAAACTCGTATATTAATTGATTAAGTAAGAACAGATGCATACATACAAAATGTTATAATACTATAGTTGAGCAGAAGACAAGATTACACTTTTAAAATGTTATTTTTATTATTTCGGCAACTATAACTATTATCTATTACTATATCGATAAATGGTCCAATCTTTGACACACATGATCAACTCTAATCAAATACATCCATGCGAGTCATTGGTTAAAATCATCTACAAACTTAAAGAAAATCGGCTTAAAGAAAGTATGAATGAAGAATCTATGCTTAGCTAAGACTATAGGAGTTCACTATTTCAAAACCAACCTCTGGTTAAAACAGAGTCATATTCAATTCCCTATTCTTCAATAGTCTTAGCAACCCCCCTGATTTTATAAATCGTCACCAATAAACACTATCTTATTTTTCACATTTTCCCCCTCACTCCTAACCTTTTTCTATTATCCAAATTATTGCTTCGGAAACTATTACACAACATTATTTGTTGATAATTATTTGATTACACAGATTGAAATCATGAGTCAGTTGAAGCTAGACCACCATGGAAAACCTGGAAGCACTGGACGGCCGTTTCGTCCTAGTATGGGACTCCTCAGTAGCGCGCATCCACGATCCCGCACCCCGTGGGATTCAAACCCAGGACCTACTGGCTTCGCGCACGAGCACTTAACCAGTAGACCACTGAGCCGGCATCCAATGGTGTTAATGTGGATGCACACTGCTGAGGAGTCCCATACTAGGACGAAACCGCCGTCCAGTGCTTCCAGGTTTTCAATGGTGGTCTAGCTTCAACTGATTCATGATTTCAATCTGTGTAAATTTCTAAAATCTCCACAAACCCCTTCTGATAATTATTTGATTACTTTGCTAAATGATCCAACACCCATTCTATTCAATACTTAGAAAACTTTCAATAACTTTAATTACTCTAAAATAACACCCTTCCATTTATGCATTTATTGTAGGCTGTTTTTGTGGACTGTTTTTGTCATAGATTGCTTCCAGTTGAAGTAACATCAGAAACAAGGGAGTACAAAACAGTTGTCTCGTTCTAGTAGATGACTTATCGGGCCAAATCTAGAACCTCAAGGTATTCCGATGAACTCTTACTCATCAGAAATACTGGATCAGCATCAAATAATACACTATCAACTAGAATCAATTTACAAAACACCATAACATTTATCAAATACCATTAATGCAAATTGTTTCATTCTCGATATGATTGATAATTAGCATATGGAGTTAGGTTTTGCCACAGTTTGGATTTATTTGGAAGCTCAGTGAAATCACAAGTCACTGAACGAATGTATTATCTAAATTTGGGACTTCTTAGCAATTGATAACTAACTGATCAATCTGGTAATTTCTGAATTGATCTCACGAAAGCCAAAATGAAGACTGAAGTAGACAAATGAACATATATTCATTGTGTGAAGTACTGGACAAAAAAAATAGTATCAATACAGGCGCATGGAGATTGTAAAGTTCTTACTAAGTTAACGAACCGACTTAGGTTAAACCATCATAGAAAAGCTGGAAGCACTGGATGTCTGTTTAGTCTTAGTATGAGATTCCCAAGCAATAGGTATTCATAAGCTCAAGAACTAGAACTGTCTGATAACTCTCATATAAGGCTCACAAACAATACAAGTTTGTGACGTCATCTTCATAGTGGGCCAATATGAGATCCAGAAAAGAGGATTCGGAGTCCAGGTCCTTTCTAGTTGCTTCCTTCTCATGTTGCATTAGACCACATGTAATAACCAAATCAAGTAGTTATGTTCGAAAGAATTTTCTGACAATTCACTCTTCAAATTTTTCTAGTTTACCATACATGCATTGAAGGCTCCTAAAACTAAACATCTACCGCTTGAATACCAAATATTGAATCTGTTTAGCAAAACCTCATTTACTCCGCAGTTTGAGCTGCAGTTAATCAAATCAGTTAACAGCTCTCTTCGCTCAGATTTCAGACAACAGCTAATTAATCTTCACTTCCCACTTTCATGGGAATAGTTCAGAAGATAATTCTCTTTGAAGGAATTGGTTATATTAATGTTTTCTAGAAATAATAATGATCTACCAATTTAGTTAACTAACTTCCAATTGAAAACAGATTTTTCTACGTACATTTTGCACAATTAACAACAAGGAGATAACTAAATATGTGTTGTGAAAATAATGTTAAAGTACATTTTGTTACATTCAGTCAACAATGATGTGTTATTGGTGAAATCAATCATAATGTTGCATAGGATTATACTACTACTACTACTACTACTACTACTACTACTACTACTACTACTACTACTACTACTACTACTACCACTACTACTACTACTACTACCACTACTACTACTACTACTGTAGTGTGTGCTACTGATGTCGACAGATATAAGTAGTAAGTATCATCAATCAAATTTGGAATGCCTGGTGGCAGAAGGTTGAGAAAATCAAAGAGGAGATAAAGTGATTTGTGTGGAAATGTAGAAAAAAAAGTCTGATACAATTGATGAATACTTTGCAAATGAACTATTTACTGAATGTTTCTCAGATTTAACCAAGAAATTCTATAATGCTGCATTACAACAATATTTGGTTGCCCCCATCGGTGTTCTCATTCACTACACTATTAGCTAACTAGTTATCTATACAAATCAAAATATATTTTTTTCTCAGAACATAAAGTAATTAATTTCTAGACTAACCAATATATGCCTATTTGACCTATTCATTTCTAGTGGAAATTCTTTTTAACCAAATATTACATAATCTATTTAGATAATTATCAAGCAGCCTAGTTACTATTTCGTCAGAAAAAAAACACATAATAAATGATGATAAACTGAAAATTATACATCCCCATGTATAAAACTCTTTAGGAAAACAGAAAATGGGAGGTGGGGATAAGTAATTTCATAAACTTGTTTTTTTTTCCATCTACAACATGATGATTGATTTCACTCTAAATAAATACAATTCGTTTTATAACAAGTCGTCACTTCTTTTTTTCTTCCTTTCTCTTTTTTCTTTTTCTTTCTATCTTTCTCAACTCAGTTTTGTTTTGGAATATATATTTATGTCAAAATGATTGTATTTCATAAATATCTCTATTATTGCCTTATCCACCCTACTTACCTCAATTCATCCTTCACTGTTGTCTAGCTTTACCAATTTATATTGATATATGCATACATAACATTTACTTTGTTCAATGTTCAACAAATTCGTTGTTTTACTGTAGTACCAGTATATTTTTGTGTGGCCATTCTTTTCAATATTATGATTATTACTATATTTTTTAGTCGAAAACTACAAATGATAAAAGTAAACAGATGGGAGAAATAAGGGAGGAAGAAAAATAACAGAAAGGAATGTAATCCTTTTATTACATAACAATAATGATTATTATTATGATTATTGTTTAAATCAAGTCAGTTGCTGATAATAACCAATGATTCTCTCTCTTTTCTTGGAAAAAATTCACTTCGTTTTACATCATAATTTCATCTATCGCCAACAATGATTTATTACCATGGTAATTGTAAGACATGAAAATTACTGATTACAAAATTTTTGTTACTTTTTTCTCCCAAATATCTTTCATCTTTTGATGGGATAAATGTGGAAAATATGAAAAGGGAATAAACAGTGAAAGTGTAGTTGTATTTAACAGCACATGTCTTTATATACATATATATATATGTAAGTGTATTTGTGTATCTGCGTACAGTTTGTTAATGATTAATTCGTTTTTGACAGGGATACAGTTGTATCGGGCTTTATTTGTAAGTATGTAATACATAGGGAGAAATATATAGCTGAGAAAAAAAATGTCCGACAGAAATCATCCTCAGTGTTTCCCTTATTCACTGGTTAAAGAAAGTAGAGATAATTTTTATTTTTTTGTATCAAAGGGGTAAGAGGTGAGAGATATACACTATAAAATCTCTATTGAAATCAATTGTAATTTCCTTTTTTTTTTAACAAAAATACAGAAATATAATTTAGATAGAAAATTGTAAGAACCACACATAGATATAGATAAAATAATATTGAGTGCCAAATTTCTGTTACTATCGCAAATGTGAACTTTCCGAAAACTGTAGTGATATTAAAGAATGAGGGGGGTGATGATGATGATGATGATGATGAAAGCAGTTGTATATTTTAGACAAATAGATAAGTGGTAATAATAACCAGATAAATGGAATATTTTCTTATTGTTCCCTATTACTTTATGTCAAACAACAGAAAATTCATGTATACTATATGTGTAGGAATGTGTTTACTTGTACATTATGTGTACACAGATACATCATATAACATATAGATATGTATTATATAATTATAAGTAATCAAAATTAATAATCCATTTGAAGACAAGTTAGCTGATATGTTTTGTAAGTTTGTGGAGGCATGAGTTGGAAGGCAATATGTACGCGCGTGTGTACGCGTGTGTATGTGTGTGTAAACTGGCATAAAACACAAACTTTCGAGCAAAATAAAAACACTTCACAAAGTAAATAAAATCAAATGTACAAATGCATTTTTTTTCTATATTTTAAATCAAAACAATGTAACATACATACTATGAATATGATTACTGTTACATGTTATCAGACATGAAGTGGTTTCTTCTTTTTACTGGTTACCCCTACAAACACACATACACTAAGATACACAAAAATAAACAGTATAATCAAATCAACATTGATGTCTTCTGTGAATTCAACAAGAAATTATGTAATCCTGGTGCCGACCTAAATATATTTACATTATCTGATCATTAGCGTAGCTATTCAAGTTTTGCACACACACACACACACACTACACATACATATAGGAAATGACACACACATTGTGCCAGTTATTATAAGAATATTTTTCAGCAAAATAACGTGAAATAAAACATACGATGCCATCTCTTCTTACGACATACATTTTGTAATATATATATATATGGAGAGAGAGAGAGAGAGAGACGAGTGAATAATCATTTACTTTCGGTCAAATATCTCGAAGAGAAACTAATAACACAGAGTTAATATACACACTTTTTTAATGGATTCTGTTAAAATGTTATTTTTTCTTTCACAAATAAATAGTTAAATAATCTAAGATAACTTCAATTCATACATACTGACATTAATTTTTGGGACCGTAGTTGGTCAGTCTATTCTTCGTGTACTTACATCCTGTCAGCATAGTCTTGATATTCCCATTAAGTCACGAATATTCGGAGTAGGGATGAATGGTGAGACGCATGTTGTTCTGTTTGGTACTCATCAACTGAACCCCAGACCAAATATCAATTTTCTAATGAATATCCATTGTTAATGAGTCCCATTTGAAACGAAATATAGGTCAAGCAAAGTTTCTTTCCAACTACCACTAACCAGCTATAACAGTTCACTCTACATAATCTGATAAAAACTGTATAAACTTAAATCAATCAACATTTGTACTAAATCCTATATTGTATATTGGCTGACTTACTCAGACAGTCGATCAATATTCTTTTTTTCCTGTACAGAATATGTGAAAATTAGTGAATTTTAAACTTTACGTAATTGGACTCCTTAGTTATGTGGATACATGAGCTAATCAGTAATCAACTCGAGGACATTTCTGAGGTTTGGTCTGTGGTGTAAACTAGGAAATTCAATAATCTCCACAACCCCTCTTATACTAATAATTATCACGTGCTGACTAGTGACTAATTTCAAGATGTAATTCCCATAGTTCCTATGAGGAATCTAGATAGTTAATGTTCAGAGATTTCTGATGCGATGCAATATCTCAATGTTATGAACTAATTAAAGTTAATATTATCAACCATTAGATATCAACTCGTTAGTTCAATGATCAAGTGCTCTTCACGAAAACTTGAAGTTCTAGGATTTTATCCCCTGTGAAGTTCTGTGCATATACTGTTGTAGATTCTCATAATATGATGAGTCAACTAACCAATGCTCTTTAGTTTTTGAACAGTTGTCTAACAAAAGTCAGCTTATAACCCAAATATAGCATTTTCTCTTCAGTTAAAAAAAACTGAAAGAACCAATATCAATCCTTGTTGTAAATTGTAGTTGTACATAGTTCAATTCATCGCTACCACATACCCCACCCACTTAACTTTTATTCTATACTATTGAAATGACCTTGTACTATTTGTCACTACTATATTTAAATATTACAAGGTAACCATTATCCCAGGACAGGGTTGGATGGAGAATGCTGGTGAGCGGCCTATGCTCCTTCACGACGAGTAACAGGCTTAAGTAAGTAAGTAAGTAAGTAACCATTATCAGGGGATAATAATGTACTACATACAATGACCTATGTTATATATCTAAAAATAGAATCATGATATCATACACAATCATCATCTCAAATTAAATCATTCTTTTACATTGAATTTTTCAAGTAAAGTCACGTTGATATTTTTCAACCTTGACCTACCTTTCTTTCTTTCTGTCTTTTTTCTTCTTTTTATCTAAATATCAATGTCATTAGGTCAACAATGTAACAAGATATACGTTGACAACAAAGTCTAATCTAGTAATATTCTCCATATTACTATAACTCTTATTACACATATATTTATTTGTTCTTTGTTACTTAAGTTATAATCAATAAAATAGGTAATCACGTGGTTTAGAAACATGACAAAGCATGAATTCATTTACATCTATAGATGTATATCTAATTTCTTTATGATTGATATGTGAATTAGTAAATTATATATTCTAAGATAATAATATTATTATTATAGTATGGCTGCTTTATAATGAATAGGTGGGGTTAACAACAAAATATATAAGTTCAAATGTTCATTTACATAGCTCTCTCTCTCTCTCCATGTGTATATATATTAGGGAGAGGTTCTTGTAGAAATGAGGGTATTGATGGAAAACCCTGACTAATTAACATCATTAACAGTATGGTGTTGTAGAGATTATTAAGCTTTTGATTGAGATCATAAATTGATTGATGTTGGACAATTATTAAAAACCCGAAAGCACTGGACGACCGTTTCGTCATAGTATAGGACTACTTAACAGTGCTCATCCACGATCTCACATGCCATGCTCAATCCCAAGACTTTCGGTGGTACACACACAAACACATAAGCTCTGAGCCAGCCAACATCAAACAGTGTTAATGTCAAACTTCAATCAATCCACGGAGTTGAGCGAACATCTTCCACTATCTGAGGTAGATGCCTGGCTCTACGTGACACAGGTTAGCTCCATTGGTCACAGCTTCTCACCAGAACTCGGAGAATTCCCTCATGATACTAGTCATTATTAATGAGCATATAGTAATTATCTGTATAGGGTTTTGAAGATTATTAAGTTTTTGATTCAGTTCATGATCTCAATCAATAACGTCATT